GCCAAGTCGGACGAGGAGGAGAGGGATATGGAGGTGCTGCTGGTGCTGAGGCTGTGTTGTAACTGCACATACGGTTCGTACGAGCTGCTGCTGAGTTTTGATTTCAAGGCTTTTAATTCAGGATAAAACAGCATTTCTGCAGTTTTATGGTCGTTGCTACATTATTGTGATTGTTGGTTAGTGAGTGAATGTTTGAAAGCTACAAATATTTATATTTACATTTGTTTGCTGTGGCCTGAGTACAGACGATCAGCAAAGATTAGCATTTTTTAGAACAAGTACAGGAAGAGTTTCCATGTTCCCTCAACTATCAGCGTTCATCAGCACCTGGGGTAGTTTCTTAGATTATTTTTGTTTTGTAGTCCCTAAATTGCTCATCCAGGCATCAGAGGGATTTTCCTTCCTCAGCAACTTCTTCCCTTCTTGTTTCAATTAGAATGTTTTCATTCTACCAGCCTTCATGTTAAGAATAGGTATATTTATTCACATATTTTGTGTTATTTCTTGACAAAATGGTGTAAGTGTGTATTTTTGTTATACCTTTTCTGCCCACTAGCATTTGCTACAGTGAAGGTGGGTTCAGAAAGAAAGAAATTGTTAATTTTACCATAAATATGCCTCTAAAAGACACTTTGAGAGGTTTTTAAGTGAGAAATTAGACATTGATAATCCACAACCAGAGCAACGGTGGCTCAGGAGATAAGTGCTCACCCCGTAACCGGAAGGTTGCAGTTTCGAGCCCCGCTTATTCAGTCGCTGTTGTGTCCTTGGGCAAGACACTTAACCCGCCTTGCCTGCTGGTGGTGGTCGGGGGGACTGGTGGCGCCTGTGTACGACAGACTCGCCTCTGTCAGTGTTCCCCAAGGCAGCTGTGGCTACAATGTAGCTCATCATCACCAGTGTGTGAATGATGAACCCAGTGAGTCGTGGAGGATGGCTGCTTAAACTGAGCCAGGATCCTCTGGAGGTTTCTTCCTGTTAAAAGGGAGTTTTCCTCTCCACTGTCGCTGTATGCTTGCATAGTATGAGGATTGCTGTAAAGTCACTGACACTAGTCAGTGACTCGATGCAATTTGCTGGGTTCCTTATGTAGGAAACTTTTTTCTGATTGGCTTAATGGGCCAGCTGAAAACAATAAGTGCAATTAGGGGCTGTGGACGAGCTGTTTCTCCCCTCCCTGAAAACAATCATCAGGGTCTCTAGGTCTCAACCATTGCAGTCAGCTGCTGTGTGAACACTTGTTTCCAACTAGTAGCACAGCATAAGTTTGGTGGCATAAATTAAGCGTCAGTGGAAGCGTCAGCCCTTGTGTCTCAGCCCCTCCGGTGTGAAGACACTCTGGGGTAAAGACATATGTGTTTACCTGCACGTGTGCACAGAGCAGGTACACAGAGCAAACAAACTCGACCCAGACGCTGCTCCATCAACACCTTTCAAAATATGCCATCATCCTATACCTGTGGTCACTGGCTTCAGAGGAAGGTCACACACAGCAAACCGCTTTCGCAACCTTCAAAACCTCCGCTCGCTAAAACCAACTCCCCCCGAAGACACTCACCTGTCTATGGGACTTTGGAACTGCCAATCAGCTGTAAACAAAGCAGACTTCATTACTGCATATGCAAACCACCTGTCACTTGATGCACTGGCTCTCACTGAGACCTGGATCAAACCATGTGACAATGCTACCCCATCTGCTCTCTCAATTAACCACACTTTCTCCCACACTTCTCGTGCATCTGGCCGAGGTGGTGGAACGGGCATGTTAATTTCCAACAAGTGGATATACAGTCATTTGCTACCCATCACTAAATACAACTCCTTTGAATACCATGCCATCCAGGTAACTGTACCGAAAAAATTCTTTTTGGTTGTCATATATCGCCAACCAGGTCAACTCGGAGACTTTCTTGTTGAACTCGACACCCTGCGCTCCTCCATTCCTGAGCACAACTGTCCCACAATGGTCCTTGGAGACATGAATATTCACCTGGACAATCCCAGCTCATCAGCTTCCTGTCACTAATGTCATCATTTGATCTAAAACTAGTACAAAGTCCTCCAACTCACAAAACTGGAAAAGCGCTTGACCATATTTTCACTAGAAACTGTGCCATAGACACAATCTTTGTCACACCGCTGCATCTTTCCGATCATTTCCAATCATCCACTTCAGCACGTCTCTACAAGGGAGGTCCACTGCTTCCTCCCCAATGGTCTCATTCCGCCACAACCTCCGCAGTCTGGCACCCAACCACTTCTCCTCTCTTGTTGCCTCCACTCTTCCATCTCTCAGCACATTCTCTGCTTATGAAGTGAATGATGCCACCGAGCCACTCTGCTCCACACTCTGCTCTTGTCTTATCAACTTGTGCCCTTTAGCCACTAGACCTGCTAGATCCTCTCAGTCGCTCCCTTGGCTAAATGATACCCTCCGGTCTCTATGCACCAATTTAAGAGGTGCGGAACGGAAATGGCACAAAACAAAAGATCCTGGTGATCAATTGAAATTTCATGAATTACTGTCCTCATTCTCTGCTAGCATCACTGATGCAAAGAAAGCTTTCTACACTGACAAAATTCTCAGCTCTACTGACTCTCAAAAACTATTTTCGACATTCAAAACTCTGCTCAACCCTCCATCTCCACCTCCTACCAACAATCAATTTCCCTCTGGGATTAATAAAGTATTTTTGAATTGAATTGAATTGAATTGAATTTGAATCTATCAGCTGACGCCTTTGCCTCATTCTTCGCTGACAAAGTGGCAGCGATAAGCAAACCGTTTACTCAACTGGCCACTCTTGAACATTCGCTACCACAAACTCCTTCTAGCCCAACCATCTCAAGCCCTACTGCTTCATTTTCCTCTTATTCCCCCCTCACTGAGAACTGTGTGAAATCAAAAGTCAAATGAGGCTTTTATTCAGACGTCCTCTGCCTCGCTGTACTCACTCATTCTCACTCATGCTGCTGTGGTCCCGGTGTACCATCAGATCGCTACACCTGCCGACTCCTACCAGAACGTCATCCTCACTGCCATCCAATGCATCCATGCATGCAATGTTTGATGCATCTGCTGAATTGACCAATGTCATCTTAAAATTCGCATAACTCTGCCTTATAGCTGGTTAACTTTCGGTCCACTCTGCTCCGGACCTCTCTCTCCATTTTTTTCTCCTGTTGAGAACACCCCCCCGATTATAAGACAACCCCACATTTTAAAATTATTTTCAATGAAAAAAACATCGTCTTATATTCGGGTCAATACGGTATATATCACATGGTCCTAAGTATTCAGACCCTTTGCACAGTATTAATTTTCTTGGTAAAGGCAATAAGTTTCTTACAACTGGATATGGGGATCCTCTACCATTCCTCCTTGCAGATCCACTCCAGTTCTGTCAGGTTGGATGGTGAACGTTTGTGGACATTCATTTTTAGGTCTCTCCAGAGATGCTCAATTGGGTTTAAGCCAGGGCTCTGGCTGGGCCATTCAAGAACAGTCAGAGTTGCAGTGCATTTTAGTACAAAGAACTTCTTAAACATGTTTTATATCAACCAAAGAACTATTATAACGTAAGAAAAAAAGTCACAATATGTCTCCTTTAATGTTCAAAATAAACTAAGCTAAAACTATTCCAATCAGTCTCTAATGCTAGTTAGTTAACAAGCTGAAATGTTTAGCATGAAATACCGAAGTAAGCTTTTTTTATCCTAAACCACTCTGCTCAGAGGATGGCCGCACCTAATTACAGCCTCAAAGAGCAGCTAGCGTGACTAAACGGCGCATCAACCAGAACCCGATAAGTGAGCATGGTGTATCCTTAAACATCGTAACAAATCACACAATTGCTTTCACACGAACATCAGGCACCTGTGATGCATGTGAGATTATCTAAAGTTATCTGATCCTTCTAGAAACACCTTTTCTCATGTGAATACAGAGCAGTACAGTCTTCCTCTGTCTCAGTCTCACACGTGCACACACACACACACACACACACATGCGTGCACACAGCGATATCTCCTGCCTTTGCATTCTATATGGGAGGTGTTGTAAATCCCCCTGGCAGTAGCAGTATCAGTTCACTGAGCTACAACCATTGACAGAAGCTACATTAATGAGCAGACAGATGAAGAACTTCAAAGAGCATCTGCAAGGCCCTCTAGAAGATTCTCATCAGTATTAAACAGTAGCTGTGGTGTATATAGTAGAGAGGAGCCGCTCCACCACTCGATACGAGCTGCTCTCAGTCTTTCTCTTCTTATTGCATGGAAACAAAGCAAAGAGAAACCGGTAGAAAGGTGTGTGAGCAGAGAAGGAGACCCATTTCTGCACTGCTGTACAGTTCAAAGAAACGTTGTTTAAACAAATGAGTGTTAAGAAAAGTGAATTTGAGATTGTCTTGGGATAACCTTTCCTTCCTTCTCTTTTTTTCAGTTTCCCTTCGTTAGTGTTTGTCGCTCCTGTTAGAAAACAAACTGTTGTGACTTTTAATGTCTCGCTAATACAATGGGGATGAGCCTGCTGGCTGTATGGAATAGTGTTGGAAGGTTTATGTTGGGATGTGAGAAGATGTCGATAGACTCAAATATCCCAGTGATACTGAATCGATGTTTAAAAGCAGTGCATCGATTTTTAATTGAGAAAATACATATAAATATTTACTGCATTTCTTTTGATTGGTGCAATTCAAACTCCAACTGCTAGGTGGCAGCAGTTTTTACCGCCTTCATTCTGATGGAACAATGAGATCTCGCCATGACACTGGATGTTTCTTGGAAGCGTCTGGCCTAGGTTTTATGATGACTTCTGTCTTTAATATCGTAAATAACCTCCGGGCTATTAGTGTCTCAAAATATCTTATCGGATTGGGATATTTATGATATCGCCACATAATTTTTCTCTATTTTAACAAGTTAATTACATGACCTTTCAAATCCTGATCATACATAATATACTTAACTTATTTGCTTCTCAATTTTTTTAGTTATATTTATACCTATTGGTTGTGCTGCTGCTCTCCTCCACCTCAGTTTTAGTCTGTTTTCTCTGCATCATTCATTCTTTTATCTATTGTGAGTGTTGGACGCTCTTCACACCATCCCAGCTGACTCCGGGAAACCAACCAAGCGTGGTGGTGCAGACTAAAACTATGGTTTGGATGTGAGAACAGAGGCATGCAAGTTGGCACGTCGTCCAATCTGTTTCATACAAACGTCAGTCTATCTGGATTGTTTGCGTTTACATGACAGTGCATCAGAAAAGCCACCTCCAAGTCGGAGTTCAGGTGTAGCTTTTTCTTTTGGAACATTTCCTTGCATTGATCAGCTGAACTATTTAATTTTATGAATGAGTGCAGTGTGTGTGTGTGTGTGTGTGTGTGTGTGTGTGTGTGTGTGTGTGTGTGTGTGTGTGTGTGTGTGTGTGTGTGTGTGTGTGTGTGTGTGTGTGTGTGTGTGTGTGTGTGCGTTAAAACTGGAGACTTACTCAGATCCTTTTTCTTCTCCTCTCCCCCACAGCTCTCCTTTATAAGCCGATTGACCGCGTCACCCGTAGCACTCTGGTCCTTCATGTGAGTACGCCACTCATCCAAAACATGTTAAAAGGTGAAATGTTCTTTTCATTAGAGGGAAATGACACTTCTGAGAGATGTGTCTATCTATAGCTGCCAATTATTTCCGCCCATGATGCTGAAAAATGTGCCACATGTGTCTCTTCAGCCTAAAAATTACAAATAAAAAGCAAATAGTTTGTCGAAGTCAAGTAAGCGTCCTGGACGTGTCTCGTTAAGTGTCTGGGAGTGTGTTGCATGATTAAGTTTGCACAAAGCTGGCAGACAAACAGAAATCTAACTATGCGTAGCTTTTAGCGAAGTTCACGCTCCCGTCACATCTGCAAACCCAGCTAAGTTAATTGGCTGTGTTCATTCTGGAGGGACGGCTGTTAGAGCCCCTGTTGTCTGCTGCCATCTTTTTCTGTGAACTGCTGAGCTGATGAGAAGCTAAAACAGGATCAAGAAAATTAGATTTTCACAAACTTTGATTCATAAGTAGCAGGGCTCATTTTAGTCGTGCGTTTATACTAAAAATGTCAAAAATCTTATGTTTTGTTGTTTTTTGTGAAAATACAATCCCACTCACACACAGCTTATGGTTGGATGACTGGTTATTTACACATTTCTATCTTTGGACAGGACCTGCTGAAACACACGCCCAAGGACCATCCCGACTTCCCCCTCCTGCAAGACGCACTGCGGATTTCTCAGAACTTCCTCAATTCTATCAATGAGGAGATTGATCCTCGCAGGACCGCCGTCACGACTCCCAAAGGAGAGGTAGGTGAAATGAAACTGACTTTAGTCACTTTTATTTCAACTATGACACTTCACAGAGATGAATGACCTCTGTTGCTGTGTTAGGCCCGTCAGCTGGTGAAGGATGGATTTCTTGTGGAGGTGTCGGAAAGCTCCAGGAAGCTGCGACACGTCTTTCTCTTCACTGATCTTCTTCTCTGTGCCAAGATGAAGAAGACGGCTGTGGGGTGAGGCTCAAAAACGGTGACCCGACCCTTCAGAACGATCACCACCATGTTCTGCATATCGTCTTCCTTCAGGGCTTCAGTCAGAAGCAGAACTCCAGGGTTCCTCCACTCCTCCTCTTGGCTTGATTGTGTTTTTTCTGACATTTCTGCCATTTTTAGCCACTCCTCACCAAGAGGAATAAATGGCATTGCCCTGACTACCAGACCTTTAAATCAGTTATTATGGTCTTGGCTGTTATCACAACATGCCACCTGCAGGATAATTTGCACACACACACACACACACTCGCAAGCACACATGAACACAAACACATCCCCACCCCAACACACACATGCTCGCATGGACACACACACATGTGCGTGGGCATGCAGGTGCGCGCACACATGCATGAAAACCTGCACGCACGAACATGCACACGCACACACATTTGTTAACAGTCAGACTGATTTTTTATTTTTAGTGTTTTCAGTTTTATTGTAATTCCGCTGTCCAGATATTTTATAATTTTATAATTTATGGAAACACAAACAAAAAAGTAGGAATAAAGAAAGTTATTGATGTTAAAGGTGTTTTAGGACTTAGTTTTATTGATTATTTGGAGGTTTTTGGTAGAGTTTTTGTTAAAAATGTGTAATATGCGCAGGGACGAAATTTTGATTTCAGAAGTGGGGGGGACACAGCAGGCTTGTGCGGATTTGGGGTGGGGGGTGTTATGTAAAGACCCCTTGACACGTCACGTGCCCATCTCAATAATTTTTCCATCCTTATTGAAGTGCAGTTTTGGCTGTTGACAATGGATAGGCCATTGCATTTATTGTTTTGGGTCTTTTTTTATTGTTTTTGGTGCAACATTTTCTAACAGGGAGTTAGATTCCTTTTTTATTTAATTTTTGTTTGTTATTTTTATTCATTTAGAAGTTCTGGTTCTGGACATTTCAATGTTAAATGAAGGTTCATTTGTTGCATTTTAAAGGGTGTACTTGCATTATTATGATATATTAACATTATATTAGTGGTTATTTTGGTCTAGATAATGTTGACAATGATATCGTTTATCATCAACAATTTGTTGGACAAAATATCGTCCAGCAAAATGTGTTACTTTCCCAGGCCTAGTCAAAAGTATAAAAATTATTTATACATAAACGGTCCCTCCTGAGATCTGGCCGTTTGTTCATTTGCTGTGTTAGAGGACATGCTGAACTAATGTTTTACACATGATCATCACCCTAACATTTGAGTGTATAAAAACATATTAAATATGTTTTTTCCCTTAAAAGTGTTTAAACAGTTGTTGCATTTCAACACACAAAAAATAAAAGGAAAAAATAAGATAAATCTAATGAAAAGTGTACATCTTTGACATTAAGCTTAAAAAAATCTGTTGACGATGATGATACTGTTCATTTTTCAGAGCTTTTTAATGTGAAAATATGCATTGCAATAGATAAGTTTACAATAAAGTTAAATGATGAAATTTTTGAAGTTACACTTCTACTACTACTACTACTAGTAATAATAATTATGATAATAGTAATAATAAAAATAATAATAATTATAATAATACGAATAAATTGTGTCTGAGGAGTCAGTTATGTGGAGGAGATGAGTTTGTAAAAGTTAGTTTTGAGTATGTTTGTGAAGGAGGAGGTGAGTCTGAGCTTAATGCAGGGGTGTCACATGTTCCAACTTACGTTTTGACTTTGAAAGAAGTCTCTTATATCCACTTTTCGGTTTCTTGACATGCTGCCTCCTGGCTGTGCCTAACTACCAAAGACTCACAAATGAACACTTATTCAAATGTTATGTAATGGAAGCTGAGCTGAGCTCTGATATTACACAGCGTCTAGTTGACGATGTGACTCAGTACCGGTGTTCCCTAGCGGCTCCAAACTAGCAAAACAACGTGAGCACGTTCTGACTGTTTACAACTTGGAGTGACAGCAGCAACAGCCAATAATACGTTAGCAAGTATCAGCAGAGCCAATAGATTAGCTTTTGGGCGGGTCTAATAGTAAACCGGTTTCCGTTTCGGTCCTAGTGCTCAACCAAATCCATTTAATGGAGCGTAACATTGTTTTTGGACGGAAAAAAGTGCGGGGGACCAAAACTGCCTTTTGAAAAAGTGGGGGGGACATGTCCCACCCGCCCCCCCCCAAAATTACGTCCCAGAATATGCGAGATGTTGCGTTAAGCTGATCTCATGGTAATTTTAAGTGAAATAAACGTGCATTAATAAATTCTACCAGTAGTGATGCTATCACAGCCTCTTCATGAGCTGTCTGATAGTGTGTCACTATTAATAAATCAGCTCTGCTGCATTCAGAAGTGATCGTCTCCGTCTCATTAGTGGCAGGGTGCGTCAGTCTCATCAGTTCTGCACTTTGCATACAAATATTTCATTAACATAAATCTGCAACATGAAAAGGGAGAAATCCATTCATGCAACATTTGAGCTGAAATCTGCTTTGCAATAATCAAATTTATATGTTGGACTATGTATTGACCTTATTTGACCTGTTATCTATAAGCTTGTGTAAAATGTGGGACTTTTCAGGATGATTTTATCTTTTTTCGTCTCGCTCGTTTATCTCTCCATCCTTTCACAGTCGCCATCAGCAGTATGAGTGCAAGTGGTACATCCCTCTGGCGGATTTGATGTTCCAAACCCTGGACGACTCAGATTCTTGTCCAAGCATCCAAGTCCTGCCAGAACATGAGATCGAAGAGATGAAGATGAAGATATCGGTTTTAAAGAACGAAATACAAAAAGAGAAGGTAATCTTTTTATGTCAGGTGGATCCTAAACCAGCGGACTCTCTGTCGCTTTTTGTGTTTTAGAGTCTTAAAATAGTCTTAAATGGTTTTGTTGATATAAAACAGGAGACAGTTCAAACCCTGGAGAAAGAAAAATGTTCCATTCTTCTAAGTTGGCTGCTTTCCTAAGTGGGACGTTCCGGTGTTCTTTTGATTTAATCATTATCTGGACTGTTACTGTTAAAGGAAACGTAAATCCAAACAAGTGAATGTTGGAGTTGGCTGGAATCATTTCAGCCGAGTCACCGCAACTGTTCTGTTTTCTGTTTTTCTACAACTGAAAGACAGAAAAACAAAGAGAGGATCTGAAAAATATACAAACATGGGAAATAAGTGAGATTATCTTTCATTTTCTAAACAACAAATATCAAATCTGTTATAAATTATGATACAGAACCGCCTGTGTCGTTCAAAGTGTGGGCAACAATCTGTTTTTATCTATTTTCTTTAAATTGTTGCTGATGAGGTTGAAAGATGAGACTCAACCCTCTCCGGTGCTCTCGATATCACCCTCCCACCCCTGCACCAAAGGCTTCAGGAGCAGACAGTTCCTGTTATGTCCTCTCATGGCATCATACTCACCCACCCAGGGCACGTTGAGTGGCCACGGCTGGTATTTACTCCTGACCAGAGGCCAGTGAAGGGAGCGACTCGACACACTGGAGTCCAGAAGACTCTGACTCACAGCTTCCTCCTGAAGGCCGGGAATTTTTTTGCCTGTTTTTTTGTTTAATGCTGACAAGAAACTAAGACCCTGCAATTAGCACAGGACTACTAAACAGACGTGTGTATCATTTAGTATCTGAAAGCTCCTTCCATTATGTATAAACTAAAGTTTATTGGTAATTTCAGATCTTGTTCTTGTGTGGGTGATGCATGAGCTCCAACAAGAGGTCTAACAGTTGCAAATCTTTATGAAATAACTGTAAACTCAGTGGGACTAAATCCTTAAAAAAGTGAAGAAGTTGGATATTGAAACAGAAAATTAAAATAATCCTGAATGTAAGCGTGTAAGCAGCAGGCTGCTATGTGACATGTCTGCCCACTGAGTCTAAAAATAAAAGCACTTTCTTTCAGCCCTCTGATCCAAGTCGAGTCACGACATGGAAAAAACACTTAACCACCTTCAGCTCTTCTTCAAAATTAAGAAATGTCAGATTTTAAGCAGATTTTCTGCTTGTGTGTTTGTGCAGAAAGCACCGAAGGGTCAGAACCGCGTAGAGCGTCTCAGGAAGAAGATGAACGAGCAGGAGTCCTGGCTGCTTCTGCACTCCCCCACTATCCCCTTCCGCATCTACAACAAACACGGAAAGGTACCAATGATATCCTCAAGTGACTACCTGCAGTTCCCATCTGTCACCACTAGACGGAGACATCAATCCATCCATCTACTGAAGTTTTCATGAATAGATATCATCTTTTTATTGTCTGACTTTTAAAATTAAGTGTTTGTATTTATTAAGTGTTTTCTGTGTTTTCCCAGAGCTATCTCTTCCTCCTCTCTTCTGACTATGAGAGGTCAGAGTGGAGGGAAAGTGTCCAGAAACTCCAGAAAAAAGGTAACACTAAAATATTCCTTTTTTTGTTAGTATGAATTTAAGCAAATCCGAACTAAAATGTTCTTTTTTCCCTTTTCCCCCCTTCCAGATCTCCAGGGGTGTGTATTAAGTTCTGTGGAGCTCCAGGTCCTGACCAGCTCTTGTTTCAAACTCCGAACAGTCCACAACATTCCTGTCACTACTAACAAAGATGGTAAGAAACACTCGCACAAAGAATCTCTTTTATTCTGATTTTCAGACACTTGAGATTATGAGCCAGGTTTTCTTTCCCTTTTGCTTCTCTCCATCTCCCATCACTCCGTTTTAAATTCCCTGGTTTAAAATTTAAATTCACTCAGAAATATCTGTTTCTTCTTCGACCGCAGAAGGAAAGCAGAGCAGGGGTCCTTGCAGGAGTTGAATCTAGGTTACAACATGTTTCTCATCTTGCTCGTAGCGGTCAGCGCTACGCGGCAAGCTCCCTCAGCTTCTATATGTTTGTTTTTGCTGTAGATCTCCATATTGTCAGGCTGGCGGGGTGACATTAAAGCCATCTGGTCGACCTATTCAGATCTCCTCAAATGCCACGGATTCTCTCACACACACAGAAAACACATGCTTGTCCTTTACTTATTTATTATTTAGAACTTTTTATTATTAAGAACTGCTCGAAAAAGTAGAATTTGATTCATTTCAGAATTTTAAGTGGTGGTAAGGGGTTGTAAACTCAAGATGGAGTTCACTTCACACACACACACACACACACACACACACACGCGTGTGTGTGTGTGTGTTTTAGGATTAAATAGATAAAAGCTAAAAGGCACCAGTCTAAATTTCACACCATATTTTTGCCCAGTCTTTGATGTGAATACCGTAAATCCTCTAATATTATCTTCCTACATTAGCCAGTCTCACTGTCAGTGGGGTAAATAAAGGCAGGTCTCTAATAGTGGCCCGGGACCAGAGATTTATTAGAAACATTGTTTTTTTTTCTCAGCAGGCATCAACATTACCGGTATGTCCATGGGGTGGGGAGGGTGGTAGGGATCGGGTCGGTTTCACACGACGTTGCATCCACGTCACCAACTGCAGAGCTGGGTCAAGAGGCAGCCGTTGCAGCACAGAACCTTATTTACTACGTTGACTGGGTGTAAAAATACCCAAACTCTGTGCGATCGGGATTCGGGACAAAAACAAAGGTTTTAATTATTTAATTTTTTCTTCTTTTTTTTTTCATGTCCCGAAAGTAGTGCGCCACAAAGGACCAGGATGTGCTTGAGTAAATAAAGGCCCGGGCCTGTATTACAGAATTTACGGCATAAACATTCTCACACTTTGGTCACATAAATCTTGTGAAATGCATTTAAAACATCACAACCAGCAGGCTTACAATATTATATTAACATGCTAAATAATAAATCTGTCTAAATGCACCACTGATGCACTGTTTGTCTTTTTAACACCTTTGTTGTCAAGTTTGTACTCTATAAGAAATGTTATGTCAACGGGTCCTAATAAATCTAGTTGCTTAAAAGTAAACAGCAGGGCCATTTGAGAAATCAGAGAGGCTTTGCAAATATTTCATGTTGTCATTTTGGAAACTCTTTGATGAGTGTGGTTTGATGAGCCAGCCCGGTAAGCTGCTGGGTTTAGACCCAATCCCATCATGTTTATCTGACCTGTTTACCTGTGTACCTTTTTTCCTTAAAATAATTAAAATAAACAAATGAGCAGTAATTAATTACAGTTGTTTGAAATCTTGGGTGGGTTTTAGTTGTTGGATATTTTTTGTGAGCCTTTTCTCTCGTTGCTACATATACAAGAACATCATCATAACAAACCTAAATGATCTTATAAAGCAACCACTGAACCCGTGGACCGTCTCCTCCGCTGTAAATAGAGAACATAAACAAACACCGACAGTTCTGCCGACCTCCATCATGGAAACAGCCAGGATTCACAGCTCTCAGCTGGACCAGCAGCTTCATGTGTTTATCAATGAAACTGGATGGGGGGTTTCTGTCTGTCCTCCAGACGGTCTTTAATGCAGATGTGAGGTCTGGCATCAATCAGTCAGAATGTTAGCAGTCACTCTGGTCCTCAGATGGCATAAACGGTTCCCAGACACTTCTGATGAAAGCTTTTACTCCAGTTTTGGCAGAAAGTTTCAAATAAATTTCATCCATGATTTAAATAAAACAAAAGTTTCACAATGTGGAGGTTCAGCTGCAGAAAATGTGAAAACTTGTCAACTATTGGTGCCATTTCTGAACAATTATGTTTTTCCGCTTCATTTAAAATGGGCAATTTAAGATAAATTTTGCAGCTGCAGCAGAAACGTTGGGGTTTAATCTGAAACGATGTGTGATATGGGGCTCAATCCTTTTATCTTCTTTTCCTGTCACTCTTATCTGCACATGTGCCATAATGCTCAATGGCTGCTTATCATTGCACAGATTTATGAGCACTGATTCTCAGTCTGACTGTTAAATATTATGAATGTGTTGTTTAAGCTTGGACTAACCGCTCTGTGTGCCGGCCTTCCAGATGAAGAGACTCCTGGCCTGTACGGCTTCCTGCATGTGATCGTCCACTCTGCCAAGGGATTCAAAGAGTCAGCCAGTGAGTCGGCCACACATCTACACACAGTCCAACTCCCGTTGATGCATTTATTTGCTGCATTTGTAGGATTAAATTAGACCATTAGAGGAGGAACGTAGGAGTCCTTTTGATGGAGCTGCTGCCAAACATTCTGCAATTCTTTGTTCACACTTAAGATTACATACATCACTCAAACGTTGCTTTGTGCTTGATTATGTGCAAAGAATGCCGTATTTATATGCTTGTTATCAGCAGTGTGGGATGCTGGGAGGAAACCACAAAGGGTCCTTCAGGCATGTCAGCAGTGGACAGCTGCTTTCTGGGACATTTTGTACCCTTTGTTGCACAAGCACCAGTTCAAATATCAAATACCAAGGGAAGGCACGGAGATGGAGAAATAATTTTTATGATATTTTTTCCTGTTACCACGACAGCTCTTAGTTCTGTGTATAAAAGTCGGCACGGTAGAATTTCCCGGTTAATGGATCGGAAAGCTCGCTCTCTCTCTCCCCTCTGAAAGCCTGTTTGATCCCTGGTGAGCGTGGTGAGCTGTCGGGTTTAAAAATGAAGAAGGTGTGTGTTTGTGTGTGGAGGGAAGGGTGGGTTAGGTGATACAGGTTGCGTTTGGTGAAGCGTACAGATGGATTCTGGGTAGGACGTGGAGGTGGTGTGGGCAAGATTATGTGCTGGTGTTGTTTGAGGTCACGCTGGTTTTTAAAGCGTGCTCTTTTGTGTCCGCGTTCACATTACAACAGCAGATTTTCTTTTGTATTCAATTTATCAAATCACAATCAGAAAAGGCTGTTTCATTAAGTGTTTCCAAAGAGCCACATGCTTCTCCTTTTTTTTAAAACTCAAAGTTCCCATATGTGTAGCAGACGTTCCTGTTGGAGTCGTTATTTGTGTCACAACAATCCCACCATGGTGGGAAGGGGGCTTTAAATTCAGCCCAGGGCCAAGTAGTCTAACTGGGTCATGGAGGCAGAAACTGGGAGTTGAGCACGTTGCTAAAACTGTTTGTGGGGGGAAAATATGACCTAGTAAAAAAGTGGTAAACTATATTATGTTTATTTTATGTTCATCTAAGAGTTAGCGGGTGCTTCTGATTGGGAATGGAGTGAACAGAACAGAAACGAAGCACGGTGGAGACAAGAACACGTTATCCATCATCTCACAAGGAGACATCAGCTCAAGGATGATAGTTAATGAATAAACTGTTCTTTGTGTTCTCTTTCAAGAACAAACCGCTGCATCTCTGTACTCCGTTCACATAAATACTGTTAGTGTTCCTCTGACTCCTGGCTGCTTGTGCTCTCATTCATTGTTAGTCAGGCTTTTATTAGTTTTCTCCTTCTGGATTCAATAAAAACAGACTTTGCTTATTTTGTTTGCTCCCCAAGATGAATCTTTTCTTCTGAAGCCTTCGAGCAAACTTACAAACAGCCATTCTTGTGGCACTGACTTGTAACTGTAGGGACGTTTTATTGGGTTAACTAATTATCGCTTGTCTCTGAATCGTGTGAGCCCGCAGTTTGACCCAGCATTCAGCCCTGGGCAACTATTAGCCTCCTGTAGAAGACACACACACAACTGTGGTCCTCGACCAATTGAGATGGAAAAGGATGGTATCCATTAACTCCTCTGTTTAGGGGTCAAGACCCAAGGCTGACCCAAGGCTGATCAATTATAGCGAGATCCTTGTGGTGACCTGCCAGTAAAATGAAAACTCATGGAATGTCGTCCCACTTTCCAAAGACGACCCCCCCCCCCCCCCCCCCCCCCCCTCGATCCAACACCAGGACACATAAAGGTTCTCTGGCCTTGTTTGAGTTCTAGTTTCTGGGCACATAAACCTGTTACAGATGGAGAGGAAATCCACTTTCAGAGAGTTTAGGACCAGTTCAGTGTCAAACTGCTGCCCTGTCTCCATTTTTCTATAGTTATAATTAAAGGCCCTGCATTGTGTGTGTGTGTGTGTGTGTGTGTGTGTGTGTGTGTGTGTGTGCACGCACATTTTGTTATTGCCAAAATGACTCTTGAACAACTGGATAGATTATAATAAAACACTCAGAAATAATAACTGGATGTCCACCTACAGCTGATGACGTTATTGTGTGGGATGTTAGTTCAAGATTTGACAAAGAAAACATGATCTTCATTTATGAATGAAAGGTGGCAGACCCTTCAGTGGGTTAGATCATCTCTAGCACGTCTCCATCTTCTCACTGAAGCAGACTTGTGTAACTTTTGATCTTGGGTGTCGGTACAGAAGTAGCCGCTGTTATTCTTTCATATGTAGCAGAAGCATACCATAATTGTTCCATTTTCTAAATATCCCCCAAGTGGTCACAGTGAATTCCCCTTTTCTAAACTGCCCTCGTTCCAGTGCCACTAATCTCTTCCTCACTGGGAATAATTATGCCAGAACCTTTCAGGATGCTGAGAAAACAAACAAAAAGGGAACAGAACCAGATGGAATGGGACTTTGTGTTCTTTTATGTTAAACATGTGGAACACTAAAAAATTGTTTATTTCTGATTATAATCGGTCACTCTGAGTTTTTCGTGCAGGCTGAACATGAATATAGCCTCCTACACCTATCTCCTTCATTAGCTTCTGGCAAAAAATAGATGGTGGAACTCTAGGATGGTCTGACAGACCTATGTCACACTGTCACTTAATATTCATGAACTCACCCATCTTGACTCAACGGGGAAGGCTGTTGTTGGCTTAGCATCCAGGAAATCCAAAAGGGTTCAGATGAAACAGCAGAGAACGTCTTGGCTAGTAGAAGCTAACTGTTAGCATTAGAAACTCCACAACACAGCAGAACTCCTTCAGGCTTGTGTTATTTGTGGAGATAAAACATCAATGTTACAAAGTAAGCAGAGTCAGTGGGAGAGTTGCATTTCTGTTAACCAATCAGAGATGAGATGTCTAAATATCAGGAAGGGAGTCTCCAAATCCTGCTGTCCTAAGCTCTCCATCTGACAATCTTCAAGATCCTGAAGCAGGTGCAACAGGGATTTTGTACCCAGAGTACAACTCACAAGGCATCGACTGCAACTAGAAAACGCTGCAGATGTATTGATTAAAAGACTGACCCGCACCTTTAATGTTAGTTGTATGGATGTGTGTGTGCTAGTTTGAGCCAGTCAGTTAAAGCTCACCCCACTGATGTTGGATTATCTTCAGATTTAAATCCTCCTCTTGCCTCTGGTGATGACGGCTTCTCTTTTGATGTGTATTTTTTGTCAATAAGCAAATATAAATGTGAGATTCCTGCACTCATCTCCTCCCACCTTGTACCAGTCATAGTGACTGTCCCTGAGAGGTCACACCACACACCCCCATCCGTCATGCTGTCACAAAGAGGTAACCCCAAGGGAGGAACTGCAGGATATGCTGCAGACTTGGTGCCGACAGCCGGTAGCTCAGGCTGCAGGAGCCGCTCCAGCAACGTTTAAAGAAACACATTAACAGAGTTAATTGCTTCGCGTCAGGACCAAGTGTGAGCTGGTCCCAGCAGAGCAGTGGCTGTGGAATGAGGATGTTCAGAGTGGAGGGGGGCTGCCTGTGTACACATGCTGTAGACTGATGTCTGTCAGCAGACAAACCATAAAGTGAACGTCTGCCCCTCTCAGGTGCAGTCCTAACTTCCTTTGTGTATTTAAAGGCGCTTTTTAAATAAAATTCCGTTTCACTTACTAGGAAACTTGCTTTAAAAATGTATTTGTGGCACAGAGTACAAATGTAACTGTTGTAAGTTCTTGTAAACAATTTGAAGAAACGAAGATTATTTTTGATTGGATTGACAAGCTAATGGCTAGAGAGGGATCAAGAGCACCAATAGTTTGTGCAGTCATTCAATCTTACAAAATTCAGTCTTCTGCGAATGAGAAACCTTCAAACCAAAGTTAATATTGCGTGACACTTCGTGTTTTCTTTCATTTGATTTCTGCGGTTATTTGCTAGCACAATTAGCCGCTGCAGCCCTTCCTGTGCAGCTGAGGGTCCTGCAAAAACAAAATCATTGTATAATCTAATGTTTGCTCTAACTAGCCATTAGTTAATCTCTCCAGTCAAAACTAACCAATGTTTCTCCAAACTGATGTTCAGAGTTTTAGAAAAAATAAGATATTAATTGTTCTGAACTTTTCCATAGAATCCAATGTTATAGGATTTGAACTGTTGCTTAAAAATGTTGTTTTAACATCTCAAAACACATTTGAAGACTAAACGTCTGGTTGATGTGGGCTTTTACAGTTTGATATTATTCTGTTCAACTGGATGTAATTATTAGGTGTAGGTACATCTTCATTATATTAGTGAAATATGTGGTTTTTCTGTGTTCTGTAACATTATAAATTCCATTGCCTGATGCAGACCTGTCTACCTTCTGTGTGTCCTTTAAGATTTATACTGCACGCTTGAAGTGGATTCGTTTGGGTACTTTGTGAGCAAAGCCAAGACCCGAGTCTTCAGAGACACCACAGAGCCTCAGTGGAACGAAGTCAGTCTCCAGCAGATTACATACAGCGCTGCGTTAAAGTCTTAAAACAACCATATGAATCTCCTTTTGCATTCACATTGTTGCATAGGAGTTTGAGATTGAGCTGGAGGGATCCCAGTACCTGCGGATCCTGTGCTATGAGAAGTGTTTTGACAAAAGCATGCTCAATAAGGACGACAACGAGATTGTGGACAAGATCAAGGGGAAAGGACAAGTCCAGGTAGGAAACGGCGCAGAAGCAAATCACGTATTTGTGTGTGATTTTCAGTCATTGAAGCTTTCAGCACCATGCAGTGGTTTGGTATTGGTGGCATCTCAGTTTTCTGTTTTTCTGCTGCTGAAGCTCTAAAGCATGTTTATCATCCACTAGCATCCCCATGTTGCAGCGCATGTCCCTCTCTGAAGTGAGCTAGTTGCTGATGATTTAGGAACCATCATTTTTTAGGTGGTGTGTGTGGCTGCTGCACATCTGCAGAATCTTTGTACCCTCACGTAAAAGTAGACTCAGTGACAAGTTTCACTCAGCTATAAATATGAAGCAAGTGGGGCAAACATGAATCACCCGTGTACCGTTGCATTCACATCAATCACCTCAAAGATATCTTGTTCCTGCTCAGACCCACGTTCCTTCTCCATGTCTGTCACCAGGCTCTGGATGGAAAAACTGCACCCACGCCTTGTTTTTGTTATCATTTCCTGTTTATCACCATGATCCTCCATGGTTTTCTCTTTCAGTTTGATGATGCGTGTTGCTGAGTGTTGCCTCTGATTTCTTGCGAAAGCAGAACAAGATCAGAGGTGTGCAGGAAGACACGCGTACTTCTAGACCTGCGTGTTTCTTAATGCCAATGGCAGGTTTCAGTCTGAATATTTATATTAAATGTAATGATTGTCCAGCTGAATTTACCTTTTATCATAAATATATATATATATCAGGGATGTGTATTTTTGAAATTCTGGCGATACGCTACATATCACGATTAGGGTTGTCACGGTAACCGGTATAGCGGTAAACCCCGGTAAAAAAGTTGACAATAAAAATAACCGTCCAGTTTTTAAAAAACTATATTATCTCGGTGGGTTTACCGTGGCCGCGGTTTCGGCGCGGTGACCCTTACCAGCCACCGTCGCTTCAGCTGAAGTTCCCGCGGCGCGCACACGCACTTTTTAGTTTGCAACGGCACCAAAACTTTGAAGCTGAAATAATGGCCGAAGGAGGAGACGGCAGCGCCCAGGACATCCATCAGCCCTCAAAGAAGACTAAATCGGAAGTATGGGCATATTTTGGATTTCTGAAAAATGCTGAGGGACAGTTAATAGAAGACTGCTATCCCGTTTGCAGAACGTGCAGGAAACAAGTGTCTGCAGAAGGCAGCAACACTTCGAATCTCATGGCACATCTTCTTGACCATCACCCACGTCTCCACAGCCAGTGCAAGGTAAGTTAACATTAGCATTTTAGCTTAAATGCATGACGTGAGGACTTTTGGTTGACGGAGAATGCAACGAGTCACTATATACTGCAGCCGCAGCGTCCTCTGCCAGCATTTAAACCGTGTCACGGACACCCTGTTGCTGGATGAAGCATCTTATTTGTTGATGATGAAGAGAAATTTACAATTAGTTCCTTGTCATTGATTTGTTTACTTATTCAATGCCATTTATACTTGAACATTTGGATTTGATTACATAGTGTAGTAGTTATTTTAGTAATTTGTTTAAAGTGGCTATTTATTTTAAATACATATTTTTTTAAGGTTGACTTGTACAGTGGTCAAGTCAAGTGTGGACTGGAGTTTTAGATTTTCATTTTGATAATGAAGAAAACAAGTATATGAGAAAACAAGTGGTGTTTCTTTGATTTGTTTACATATTGTTTATGTTTTGAATGTTTGGATTTGTATAATTTAAACCTGCACTGACTACTGTAACACGTTCCAGAAAAAGAAGCTATTTGTTCCTTTACTTGTGAAAAGTTGCACTTTTGCTAAGGCTTTGTGTTATTTTAGGTTTAATAAACACTGTTAAACCTTTTCAGAACTATTTCAGTTTGTGTAGAACAGGACTATCAATGCTGTCTGAACATATGCAACACCGTTTAAAAAAATACCGCGATAATACCGAAAACCGTGATAATTTTGGTCACAATAACCGTGAGGTAAAATTTTCATACCGTGACAACCCTAATCACGATACAGGGGAGACAATACGATATATCACGATATATTGCGATACATTCAGTCAGACGTTACAAGCAATTTTTTTTTACTGAATTTATTGTAAGAATGTTCAATAAACAATCCAAACTGATACGTAACATGTTTAACATGAGGTATCTGAACCATGATGGAGGGATTTACATTTCAGTGGTGGAAACAAAACCCGTTGCACACTGCTGCCAACTAGCGGGTGGCGATTGAATTGCACAAAACGAAAAGAAAATACACAAATGTTTGCATGTAAATTCTTTCAAGAATTAGATACACGGCTGTTGAATATCGATGTAATAATTGCAGGAAAAAATATCACGATATACTGCCATATCGATATTTTCTTACATCACTAATATATATATATATATATATTTTTATATATATATCTATACATATACATATATAAACATATACATATATAATATATTAGTGTGCATTTTTTTTCTAATTTGTTTAATTGGTAGGATTCATTTTTGACCTTTTTACTGACTGGACTCAGTTTCTAGCCATGCAGAGCAAGAAGTAATAGACTCTATCCATGCGTTGTGATCTTACTGTGACTTTAGAAGAGGTCACCACTGATTTGGCGTTGCTCCTTGTTGCCGTCAATCTTTGAGTCAAATGCTGCTGCTGGGAATTTCTGCTTCCAGCCAACAACAGCTGAGAAAAAAATAAAAATAAGTAGGCCTCATGTTTGCTGGCTTGATGTTATTTGAGGGGAGAATAAAGAATGGCATGTACTGTTTGGGACTCTCAGAGGGTCAGAATACTTTTTCACAGGCAGGCTGTTTTACTGTGGATAATTTCACCATAAAGTGATAGAAAGTACTAATATGACATCATAAATCTGACCTGAAATCATCTGGATGCTCTGAAAGCAGTATGAGCATCCGTGAATGAGGAAGATTTAGGTCCTGTCTGTTTTCTTTCCATTGTGAATGAAGAGTTCAGCGTCATGTTTCGTCTTGAAGCAGATGTTTGACTGTGTGGCTGCAGAGGAATGCGAGCTGGACGTTTACCTGATGAGACTTCAAATGTTTGCTTTCCGAACTGAAACAGAGTTTAGGATTTTAGAAGGAGCCTTCAGTGTTTTGCTTTTCTCTCCAGAGACCCTCTGATTTATTTAACAAGCCCGTAGAACCCTGACTGACCGTAAATGGGCATGCTGGCCTGGAAGTTTTCTCTGTTTTAGCCACTGCTCTTACTTCACTTTCTTACCGATGAGAAATTTCACCACTTATGACATCAGGAGATTATTTTTTAGTGCCTTAAGGCGCCAGTTTTATCTGTCTTGTATGTTAATCATAATAAAGAATCCTGATTAAATTAAGAAAACCCTTTTAAATTACAACTAAATGAGAAATTATCTGATATTTAGGTTGAACAGTGACATCCAACACGTGACTGTTGCTTTATGGGAGGTGAAGTAAGTGAAGTGTGTGATGTTGATTAGTAAGCACCCTCCTTCCCGTGTGTGTGATGAAGGAAAATCCTAAGTTAAGTGACCACAATTAACTTAATGTGTTTGATGAAGTTACTTGTCCACATGGGAAATCTCAGCATTTATTTGTCCCACAGCCATCTGGCTTCCCCCTCAAGAAGATAACCTCTGACCTCTGAGGTCACGTAGCTCATCCTCCAATAAACGGCCGTAAATTTAGACTCACTGCCTCTGCCTTCCAAATTGGATTAATGGATTCAGCACGTTGTGTGAGCTGATTGGTTTGGATAGCTTGCTATATTTACTCGGTTATTTTTGTCTGGTATTGACATTTGCTCAATCAGAAGTATGCCACTAAAGCAAAACAAATGCTTTTTTCACAGCAATTTATTATAATGTTCTAATTTTTGTGTTGTAAGTTTGAGTCAGAGAAGCCTATAGGCCATAAAAGCAAACAGAAGATCTGTACTTGTTCTCTTCAGTGCAATACAAACTAATAAAAAATCTGTGATAGTATCAAAAGACATAAATTGTGTTTATAGTTAGAGAAACTGTGGTTTCTATGGAAGCCCTAGGAGGCTTGGAAGAAAGAAACATACAGCAATAGGAAAATGAACTGGATTTTGTTTTCTTAGTCTGTCTTTTTGTTTATTTTTGCTCTATCCTTGAAGGGCAAGTGGGAAGACGATAGAAGAAAAAATGTATTTTCCTCGCCTTTCAGACTTTTAGCACCAAAAGAATACTTACCATGGCTTTTCTCCAGATGCGTATGAGGTGTGCAACATAATAAACACACTTTTCCTGCACGCTCAGTGGCGCATCCATTCCCATTGGTAGAGTAAAGATGTGCACAGGAAGCAAAAGTGTTCCACGCAGCTTCTCAAGAGGTCACCAACTCACACACCATGGAATTGCAAGATCACGTGTGATTTCACTAGTTCACACAATAACAAGCTCAGAGAAATATGGCAGCTTGAATCCAAAAGGTTTGCTTTTTTTTCTGTTAACTTGACCTTGACCACAAAGGTGGCACAGATAATGACATTTTTTTTACTAATTAAGCAACTGAAAATCTGTACTTGTTTTTTATTTTAAAAGCTGCTCCTGCATCTGATTTCCTGTCTGGTACGATGTGAACTGCTGAGATTCACTCGCTCAGGAAGCATACCACATGAAGTATAGACTCGAAATGTGAATTTAGCTGAGCAACGTGACAGTACCTTTCTGCAGCCGGTGTAAACACACCCATTGAATTTTATGTCGGATATTGGCTTTCTATTACACGTCATGGATGTTATGCATTCGGTGGAAAGCCAGGCTCAGGAAAAAAAGGCCAAATATTTTTTCTTTCTTTTTACTTTATTTATTTTTTTATTGTTGGGAAAATTTTTGAAAAATGGGACAACAGATTTTTTTTTACTACCTTTCAAGGCTTCCATAGATTTGTCTTTTTGTGTTAACATGGAATGAACACAACTGGATGGTTATGTTAAAATAGTTTTATTTCTCCCCAAACGTTGCCTTCCAGAATAATCCCGTCTCACTAAAACAGGACACAAAGTGCTG